CGAGTAGGCTGGGTAGGATTCTGACGAACAGACTGTGCCACAATGTTGATGTTTTCTTCAATACGAGTTGTCCTTGGTCGACCCCACCGCTGTTTATCTAACGTCGAACCAGTCTCTTCGAACTTAGCAACCCAGTTCTTAATCGTTTGAGCTGTTGGACACTTTGTAAAATTGTGTAAATTGTGGTATTCTCGATATTTACGCCGCGCAATGGTTGCCGAATCATTATTTTGATAAAACGCGCGCACACAAAAAGCACGATCCGCTCCAGTGAAACACTCCATGGCGACTGAATTTCCAGACACTGAAGATACTGCCCCCACCTCGCCCGCGCCGCTCACGCTCACCCGTTAAATTTTATTCAAATTTGAAATTTCAAAGGACTTATGGATCACCCTGTAGTACACAACTTTAAGTGTTTTATATCGACCACAATCACCACAATCTTACTAATTTTTATAATCTAATCTAAAACGTTTTTAAATTGGGTAATTAACAAATAAATGGCATTCAGTTTTTCTAACTTAAGCCAAAATTTGTAGTCAGTAACTTTCATTAAATCAAATATTTAAAATATACATGACAACAGCGCGTCGGTCGTTCATCACTCTTATCGAACCGGCGAACGATCGCAAACGGTGGTTAGTTCTTGTTCGCGTACGTCGTCGTGTTTATTTATTTGCAATGTTCTCGAATCAAGAGTTCGCCGACATGTTGTTAGTTTACGGTGAAGCTCGTCAGAATTCAAATCTTGCAGCTCAAACTTATCTCGACAGATTTCGCCAACGGGCACACCCAGACAGAAGGACATTTGTGCAAGTGTACCAAAGACTTCGAGATACAGGAAGTGTTCAGCCCACTAACATTCGCACTCGTGAAAGACAGGTTACTGTAGAGCAGGAGGAACGAATTTTAAATATCGTACAAATCAATGCAGATATCAGCACTCGGGAATTAAGCCGCCGCGTAGGACTATCGCATACCATAGTCCATAGATTCCTACGGAAAGATTTGCTTTATCCCTACCATGTACAACGAGTGCAGGCCTTGTTCCAGAAGACTAACATTCTGTCAGTGGTTTTTGCACAAAAACATCGAAAATCAAGATTTTTTTAAAAACTTTCTCGCGACGGACGAATGTACTTTTACGCTAGACGGGATATTAAATTTCCATAATACACGTGGGCCCAAGAAAATCCTCATACCATTCGTGAAGGTCATTTCCAACAACGTTTTAAAATAAATATTTGGGAGGGTACTCTTGACGATCAGGTAAAGAAAATCCTCATACCATTCGTGAAGGTCATTTCCAACAACGTTTTAAAATAAATATTTAGGAGGGTACTCTTGACGATCAGGTAATTGGCCCTTTCGACTTATCCCCAAAGTTGTAGGGAGAAGGATACCTTAGCTTTCTAGCCAATAACCTACCAGAACTTTTGGAACAGACCTTAGACAACATGCCATTACAAAGGAGACAGAATTTGTGGTTTCTTCATGACGGAGCACCACCACACATTTTTAGAGGCGTCATTCGGTATTTGAATGAACATTATCGCTGGATCGGTCGAAATGCTCCTGATCCTCGAAAATGGCCAGCAAGATCTCCTGACCCCAATCCGATGAATTTCTGGCACTGGGGGGAACTTAAAGGGATGGTTTATGGGGCTGGTCCAATAACAACTGAAGCACAACTTCGCGAAAAAAACTTTAATGCGGCTGAAATAATAAAAAATTAGAGCCTAAATTTGTAACATATAGAAATCTTAATAGCATTGATATTCAAAGTTTTAAGACGCAGATTGCATCAATGCAGCTTAATGACATTTATTTCGTGAATGATGTGGATATTAAAGTCTCTATTTTTACTGGCCGTCTTCTTTATCTATTCGATCTCTAGGCTCCGCTACGTACAGTACGTGTCACAAAACCTGCTGCAAACTGGCTCACTCCTAACTTGAAAATGATTTTTCAACTCAGAGATGAGGCATTCGCTGTCTATCAGCATAACAGATCTGATCAGAATTGGGCCAGCTACAAAGATTTGAGAAATTATGCTCTTGCATCGCTTAGAAGAGAGAAAAAAGCATATATGTCACGTTTCCGGAATCTTAACTCTAGTCAAGCTTGGAAACACCTGAGGAGGATGCATGTGGTAGCCCAGAAACATGTTGCGATACCTCCCAGTCTCCTTGAGCCTAACATTTTAAATAATTATTTTCTTTCAATTTTCCAGACAGCTGCAGCTGATACAAATTTGATTGATAGTGTCTCTAACTCTTATAGCGATAGACGCCATACACCGGATGCACCTCTGTTTGCTTGTAAACTCCTTACTCAGCAAGACATCGTCAATATAATCTCTCACATTAAGTCTACGGCATGTGGCTCTGATGGTCTAACTTTAAATATGGTTTGCTTATGTTTGCCTGATACCATAGACCATATAACTCACATTATTAACGTCTGTCTCGAAACAGGTTAATTTCCTGCCAGTTGGAAAAATGGTATTATTATTCCAATAGCTAAAACTAATCATCCAGAACAATATTCGGATCTCAGGCCAATTACCTTATTATGCTTTCTATCAAAAATACTCGAAAGAGCTGTCTACTCACAACTAGTGGAGTTTTTCGAACAAAACCACTTATTTCCTCTACATCAGTCAGGTTTCACAGCTGGTTACAGCACTACTTCATATTTATTACATCTTACTGATTCCATCATTCACAATTTAGATAATCACATCAACACTGTCTTGGTACTGTTAGATTTCTCGAAAGCCTTTGATATGGTCAATCACCAGATACTACTGAGTAAGTTATCTCATTATGGAATGTCAGATATAGTTCTACGGTTCTTTGAGTCATACTTGCTAAATCGTCAACAAACAGTGAAAACTGATCAGGGAATTTCCTCCTCTGAGCCAGTTCCTTCAGGAGTTCCTCAGGGCTCAGTATTAGGTCCCTTACTATATCTGATTTATACGATCGATCTGCAAGACTGTTTAGTCCACTGTAGTATGCAAACTTATGCAGATGATACTCAGTTAGTGTTTGGTTTCGATCCATCAAAGGTTGATGAAGTTTCTTTTAAAGTTAATTTAGATTTGGCTAACATCGGTGATTACTGTAACAAACACTGCTTGAAGATCAATCCTAATAAAACTACTGCAATGTTGTACTGTTCGAAGAACTCCTACCGTGAAATGAAGCAGAGGATTTGTGTTTTTTTGGATGAGACACTCATCCCTTTTGTGGATTACGCCAAGAATCTCTGTGTTACCCTTGACTTAAATATGAGATTCGATCGGCATGTCTCTTTCTTATCTAGAGTAACATATTTGCGTTTGAAACTCCTCTATTCTAATCGATACATCTTGAATTTTAAAACCCGAAAAAAGCTTGCTGAAAGTCTTGTGTTGTCTGTCATTTCTTACTCTCTTGTTCTGTATTACCCATGTTTAGACTACGTCCACAAAAGGAAACTCCAGAAAATTCAGAACAGCTGTTGTAGGTTTATTTTTGGATTGCGCAAGTTTAGTCGCGTCTCAGATAAAATCAAAGAACTCAACCGGTTGCGAATTGATAAGGTATTTTTATATCTTTTGACCGTCTTCACGCATAAAGTTCTATTATCTAACAGACCAGCTTACCTCGCTAGCAAATTAGTTCACCGAGGTAGTTTTGTTACCAGAGCTCTTAGATTTAATGCTAATTTTAACATGCCTCCTCACAATACCTCGGTCTTTGAAAGAAGTTACACCTATAATGCTGTCAAGCATTACAATGCAGTCAACAGTGGCTATCGATCCAAACAGGTTGTTTCTTTTAAGAAATTAATGAAAAGTCAGCTGCTGGAGTCCATTTAGTTCAGTTTTTCTTGTGCTCATGTGATATTTTTTTTTTGTTTGACTATTTTCTACTATTTTGTTTCAAATTTAAAACTCTCGCAATGCTATCTGCATTTGTCTCGTGCAATCAATGTTGTCATTCTTATGAATTGTATTTTTTTTTTTGGTATGTTATTATTTTGTTTATGTGTGTAAGTATTATTTTTTCCTGTTGTGGGGTTGAGTGTAAGGTAGCCGTCTGGCTAAACTTCGCCTCACTGCAGTTAATAAAGGCATTATTATTATTATTATAAATGGACAACTTCGAGTACCTAGAGCAAGAAAAAACTGGGTTCGTCGAAATGAAGCTTGTGTGGAAAGTGGAGGACGACATTTTTTTTTAATAACTTCACTGATATCAACTACAACTACCATTAGGATTGATTTTTGAATTACAAAGCTCAATTCCATTCACTATATCAGGGTCAGATCAAAATATATAGATAATTGTAACTGAACAATATTGTACCAAGTAAATTTTGAAAGTGTTGTTAAATATGGGATTATTTTTTTAGGATGCCATAGGTTTATGCAAAAAAACGCATTGCCGAAATAACAGCAGTGTATTTGATAAAGTTTATCCACTACAGAAAAATATTTATATGCGTTTTTCAATAGTCTTCCCAATGGTATTAAAATCATAAACAGTTTACACAGCACAAGGACCATTGAACAGCTTGTTATACAATCAGAATATGGATGAGTTTTATGTCAGCTGTGATACAATATTGTAGTTTTAACTAACTGTAACTAATTACATAAAGTTTATTCATAGAAAACCTGTCTCGAGATAGACTGCTTATGAACAAAGTGTTGACGCAACTTGTCATTTTATGATGCCTAAACGTATTGTTTTAGACTTACAACCATGTCAACCGACAAACTTGTAGTGACTGACATAATTCCTCTAAACAGTTGCTACAGATACACAGTTGTCAAATGTAACTCTTAGCTAAGTTTTTTAGCAAATCAGGATGGTTCAACAGACACGTAAGGATTACCTTTACCAAACAATATATTTGAAAGAGGTGATGTAGTCGTAACCAGGCATAAAGATGCCCTAAAGGAATGTTTTTAAAGTACATACTTAAGCTTGTAGTTATTGAAACTACAACTGGTCTAACTCTGGAGGGATCGATATCTTATTTCTAATTGCAAATTGTTTTAAGGCCTCATATCTCTGCTCAATTCCCGCCATTTCTTCTCTAGCGCGCACAATATCGTCTCTCATCATCTCCATGTCTCTCCATTCCTGGGTTTTCTCTGTCTCCAACTCATCTTTCTGTTCTATCCTTTTGATTCTGCATGAGGCCGCATAACCCCTGTTTTTCAGCGTTCTTCTCCTTTGCTTCATCCTGACTATCTCATCTCTGGTCAAACCTCGCATCTTCAGCTGTCTGTTCAAGTCTCTCACGGAGATGGTGACCAGTTCCTCGTCAGATATGTCCAATAACGGCGATGGGGATAAGGGGGCCTATAAAACGATATTTGCCTCAAAAAAATGCTGCTACACAAAAACTGGAGTCAAGTAGATTGACTCTATACTTTCTACGCCTTCGTTGAAGGTTACAAAGAAAAGGGATGATTCAAATCGTTTCGAAAGGCGAAATGGAATCGTGATTTGGTAGATTCACTAAGGGCGGTATCATCAGTCGTTCCTACAATTATTGTAGGACGCCGTTATGGCCTCCTTGATTTTCATAGTTTTCTGCTGCGCCGAGTTAGCGCTGTATTTTGAGGTTATGTTACAAATGACCATTCACATCAAATGTTTAATGCTTTTGATTTATATCAGCCTGACATTTCCTACAATTCAAAAAGAAAGCATAGCCTCACAATAGGGGAGCGCTGACGCTGACGCGGAACAGTATATACTAAGTGACATATAAATCCGAACACCCACTTTAAATGGTTTTATTTTAATAAAAGTTGGTGAATGTATCTATCTTACTGTAAATAACAAGTGAAAAAATTTTCAGCCTTATCAGTTGGACATTCCGGTTTTTATACTGCTTTTTTTTAATTCACTAACGCTCTAAAAATGAATATTTCAGTCGCAGTAAAGAATCAACGTTGGCGGATTTTGGTTCTTGACATCCTTTACGATCGGTTACGATGCCTAGAGTACGGAGACCTGTACGATTTCGTCAACTTAGTGAGTTTGATAGGGTCCGTATAGTGGGACTTCGGAAAGCTGGACTTCCTTTTCGGGCAATTGCAGTTAGAGTGCAAAGAAGTGTAGACACTGTGGTTAGGTGTTATCAGGCATGGCTTCGAGAAGGCCGTACGCAAAGAGCAAGGGGCACTGGACGCCGCCGTAGAACAACAGACCGTCAAGATCGCCGCCTAAGATTATTGACCTTAAGGGACCGTTTCTCCACTATCAGGTCCATTGCAAATGAATGGTTTGCAGAACACGGAAGACCTATTGGCATGCGAAGTGTTTACCGACGAATGAGAAGTTTTGGCTTGTTTTCATACCGGCCACACTGGGTCCTGCCTTTAACTCGAGAACACCGACGTAATCGCCTTGAGTGGTGCAGACAACGGTCACTCTGGGATCAGGAATGGAACAGTATTGTCTTTAGTGACGAGTCTCGATTTTGTTTAGGCATGCACGATGGTCGTGCCAGGGTTAGAAGGGGACGTGGTGAAAGGAGGAATCCGCAGTTTTTTGTTGAAAGACATGTTCATCACACTGTTGGAGTTATGGTTTGGGGTGCTATAGCTTATGGTTCCAGGTCACCTTTAATCTTCATCAGAGGTAACATGAACGCGCAGCGTTATATCCACGAAGTTCTAGAACCCCATCTTTTACCCTATCTTGACACCCTGGCAAATCCAACTTTCCAACAAGATAATGCCCGACCACATGTTGCAAGAGTCACAATAGACTTCTTTCAACATAATGATGTCACATTGTTACCATGGCCACCAAGATCTCCCGACTTATCCCCAATTGAGCACGTGTGGGATATAATGGGTAGGAGATTGCTCAATTTGCAACGTCGTCCTCAGACTCTAGAAGCACTTCGAGAGGAGTTGGTGGTTCCCTGGAATGAGATACCACAGGAGGACATTGACCACCTGATCAGAAGCATGCCTAGGCGCGTTGGAGAATGCGTAGCACATCAGGGTGCATCAACACATTATTAAAGGTCAAAGGGCTTTAAAGCAGTGCAATCATTTTGAAATTTTTATCATTTACTTATTATGCTTCATTAAGCACTTGTACAAAATTTTATTAAAATAAAACCATTTAAACTGGGTGTTCGGATTTATATGTCACTTAGTATATCAATATGTTACCAGCTTATGATATTTTACTGCCAGAGAGTGTACAGCACAGAGCTTATGCCTTTACAATTTTAGCAGTTTAGTCAATCTGATTTTGATGAGCTCATTTACGATTTTACAAATGCTAACTTTACTGCAATTAATGATTATTTAGTATCTTGTGACTGGGATGCATTATTTGGTGATGTAGATGTGAATGTGGCAGTTGAAACGTTTTATGGAGTCTTACAAAATTGCTTGGATTGGTTTGTGTCTCAAAAGCGTATAAAATTACCCTGAATGGTTCAGCCCTGAGCTTAAAGATCTAGTCTGTCGAAAAAGATTTTTATAGAAACAAACCAATATGAAGACTATGTGACTTTCTCAGAGTTACGCTCTTTATGTAAACAAGAACATACGCGATGTCATGCAATTCATATTGATCGAGTTCAGGAATCTTTAGTAGCCGATCCACGGCGCTTTTGGGGATACGTGAAGAGTTTAAGAAATTCAAGTAGCTTACCTAATAGTATGCACTTAGAGGGAGTTAGAATGCAAGATGGGATGACAATGAGTAATTTGTCTGCAAAGCACTTTAGTGGTGTATATGATAGTTCTGTATATCCTGTACCCTCTTTTTCATTTGAGAAGACAGTAGAGATACTACTAAACAAAATTTCTTGAGGAAGTATTTAATAAAATCGTAAGTCTCCCAGTGAAGTTCAGCTCGGGTCCTGACCAAATTTTAGAGGTTTTTCTCAAAAAATGTATCTTTAAACTTACTAGATCAACTGTGGAGAATTTGGTGTCTTATAAAGTTGATCTATTGGAGGCCTTGGAAAAGCGTCACCAGGTGGATGCAATCTACACAGACTTTTCCAAAGCCTTTGACAGAGTGAACTTCGACATTCTATTGGCAAAGCTGTCAGCTTATGGTTTTTCAGAAAACACTATAAGGTGGTTAGAGAGCTTCCTTAATGGTAGGACACAATCTGTAAAAATTAGTGGACATCTGTCTTCAAAATTCAAAGTTACATCAGGAGTTCGTCAGGGGTCCCATTGTGCTCCTCTCCGCTTCATTTTGTTTGTGAATGACATCCCAGATATTCTTATTCATTCCAAAGGAACTATGTTTGCTGATGTCCTGAAAATTTACAGGACAATAATGGACAGGACGGTATTCACATATTTTTGATGTTGCAGAGCCCTTTATCTCGGTTCCCTTAAGACATTGGTGTATATGGTACTAAGAAAAATTGCTTATGTTTTCAAGATCTACACGTCGTGTAAAGGAAACCCCCAACTTTGCGGACACCCTGTATATTCAAGAGATTCTAATTTTTTACATTTAAAAATATTAACAATTTTATCGGTAACCCACGAAGTGACTATAACACAAGAAATAGAAATATAAATCTTCTGTATCCAGTCCATCATCTCACGGTTACCGAAAAAAATGTCCATTATAGCTGCACTAAAATATACGTAGTCGTGCCATAAGTTCTGTCCCATGATAATCTCATGATAAAAATGAAACAAGATAAGATATATTTATATGAAAGATATTATTTATTCGACAACATTTTTAGAATTCATAATCAAACAGTTTTATTCAAAATGTCCCCCCTTGGCCTTCACACACTGCTTCAATCTCGCGGGCCACTCATCTATCACTGCACGCACAGCTTCCAAAGGAATAGCTGCCGCTGATCGGATCAAATCCGCTTTCAGGGACTCGATATTACGGTGGGCTTTGGAGCAGGCCAACTGCTCTAGCAGGTCCCACAACTTGTAGTCTAAAGGATTGAGGTCCGGACTCCCTGAGGGCCAATCTTCCGCAGCAATGAACTCTGGCACATTGCTTTCCAGCCAGCGCTGCGTACTCTTAGCCTTGTGAGCGGGGGCGGAATCCTGCTGGTAGACCCAGTGTTGGTTGGCAAACAATGTACCACTTAAAGGCTTGACGATAGGATCCAGTATGTCGCTCTGATAGTTTGCCGCTTTTGTTTTCACGCACTGTTTACAGAAATGGAGCTGAGTGACCCCTTCGTAGGACACCCCCCACCAAACCATGACTGACGCAGGGTGGTGGCCTCTCTCAACTCTCGGAATGATCTCCGAAGCTTCCTGTGAACTCCTTGCATACACTTTGTCATTTTGTCGGTTGAATTTTTCTTCTATGGTGAAGATTTTCTCATCCGTGAACAAAATCTTTCGGAATCCCCCAGCTGCGTACCTCTCCAAGAGCTTCTTGGATCTTGTCGCCCTGATGTGTCGCAAGGTGGCCGTAAGTCGCTGGCCCGTACGTCTCCGGTAAGCCCCTAGCCCTAGGTCTTGTTTAATGATGCGCGACATCGTCCGGACAGGAATCTTCATTTCCCTGGATAGGATCTTCTGCTTCCGGAGTGGATTCCTTTGAATCCTGGCTTTTACGGCTTTGATGGCTGCTGGAGTCCTTACTTGACGAGGTCTTCCGCTTCTTGGCCTGTCATCAACAGAGGACGTCTCATTGTACCGCTGAATGGTCCTAGACACAAATTTACGCGATATTTGAAGGCCGCGTAAGAGTTCAAAAATCTGACTAGCACTGTGATTACACTTATGTAAAGCTATCACTGCAATACGGTTCTCTGCCTTGCCCCACTCCATCGTTATGCTTCGAGAGATCAATACAAACTGAGGTATATGTAATTACCCGAAAAGCGCTTAATCAACTGACACCACAATATAAACAATCGGACAAGTATTAACAGGTCTACACTTGTTTGAAAACGAGGGACAGAACTTATGGCATGACTATGTATAATAAGTTACCACAAGAAATTGAAAGGTTGGCAGATATAAAAGAATATAAAAAGAGTATTCATCAATTGTTAATGCACTTAGAACTATATGACCTTCAAGAATATTTTGAAATGTAATATCTCTATGTTATATGTTTTGCCTCTTTGTTTTTTCTGTCTTGATGACACTGTGACGTATATTTCACCTACATTGTAATCATGCACTGTTATTTTGAAATAAAGATTTATTATTATTATTATTATTTGCTTACTCGTCATGGTGGTAACAATTCATTTTATTTGCCTGTTCCGCGGACAAATTTATTGT